GGACGGAGGAGGGGTTCTCACAAAGATCAGGGGAGCGGGTTGGGGCTGGATCTGGAATTGTTGTAGAATAGGAATCCCATGTGTTTATTCTCAGATGTGTAAAAAAGTGGCTCATTAATGTGATCAAACCAAGTCTGGGTAGAGAATGACATGGACTGACGAGAATACGTTCAAGATAAGAAGAAAAAAAAATCACACATGTTCAGCCACCCCTTCTTAAAAATAGAATAGACAAGAATTGAGTAGAACAGAAAAGAACAGAATCGATTAAAATAAAATAAAATAAATAAATGAATAAATCACATCTCCTGTGGTTTCACGCAATTATCTCATTCAAAAGATTGAAATGAGAATCAATTCATGTCACCTGGGCTATGAACTTCATCAGACCAGGCAGGATATTAAAAACAGAAATGGGATAAGTATAATTTCCACATTGCCTTTTTAATTTTCCCTTAGGATTTGGGGTAATAATAGAATCTATGCTGGAGTTCCAGTGAATAGAATGAGGGGATTATGAGGACAAATATCTGATCAATTTAATATGTCTTGACATGTAGATCGGCATAGCACAGTTAACTTAAGGACATACCTGTAATTGGCTTGAAAGGGGAAGCCCGTTTAAGCCTGTACTTCTTCATTCAGGATCTTCATGGAAGAAAAATTTCAGAGCTGTGTAAGTATTGTGAATAAATAGTATTTAAGAATTTTCTTCTTAGACTTGCTATTTTTATTAACCTTTTTAGTTAAACAGGGCCAGGAAGTTTGTCAGTCAGTTAGTAAGTGAGTCAGTCATCCAGTCAGTTAGTCAGTCAGTCCATCCTACAGTCAGTCAGTCAGTCAGTCAGTCAGTCACTCACTCACTCACTCAGTCAGTCCATTCTACAGTCAGTCAGTGTATCCTCCAGTCAGTTAGTCCATTTTCTAGTCAGCCAGTCAGTCAGTCTTTCCTTCAGTCAGTCAGCCAGCCAGCCAGTCAGTTAGACATTCACTCAGTCAGTCCATCCTACAGTCAGTCAGTGCATGCTCTAGTCAGTTAGTCCATTATCTAGTCAGCCAGTCAGTCTGTTTTCTAGCCAATTATAATCAGTCATTTCTAATTATCTTGAGTCATTCATTTAGTGAGTCAATTAATCAGCCAGTCAGCCAGCCAATGAGTTAGGGTGCATTCCCATAGATTTAAGATCGATCTATCCCCGTGGGGAGTGTCACTAGATTACTGTCAGATAATCTGGCTTAAATGTCTGTCCTGCCTACTACAAGCTGTAAGGGGGTAATTAACTTTTGTGCCCGCTCGGCTGACAGCTATTTAGCGTGAACCTCCAGGGAGTTAGGTCAATCTCGTTGGATTGATCTAATCTCTGGGAATGGGGTCTTAGTCATTAAATCAGTCAGCCATTGCAGTCAGTCAATCAGTGAAGCCAGCCAGCCTAGCTGCCACTGGTAAGTATAGTGGCGTAATGTGTTAACTGAGATAGAGCTCGGGCATTCAGAACAGATAATCCTTGGACCAACTGATCTGCTGACTAAATATGGCAGACCCCACTTAAAATCAAGCCACTTAATCCCCTCTTGGTCTCTCAACTTCCACACGTGCCATTGAAGGGATTAAATCTCAGCTCCGAGGTTTAATTGTAATGCCCCTGCACTGATGGCCCATGTCAAGGCAGGGAGGCCATCACAGGATTAGTCACAGGGGCAGATTTAGGCCGTCTTCTGGGTCTTCCGGAAGACAGTCAGATTTTCAAGTTAACATTGACAGGTATCTATTTTTTTTCTGTTGGAAGACGGTCAAAATTGGAGGATGAATCAACAAAGATAATTTGGAAGACTGTCAGTAAATACCCNGATAAGCACATGTGATTCTCAGTTGTGAACAGAAACATTTTTATTATAACAGAAACATTATTCATTTCTATTGAGTTGTTAATTGGATACGTTGGCCCAACGTGAGGCCAACGTATGCAACAAATATGCACACGTTGGCCCAACGTTGGGCCAACGTGAGCATATTGCAGTTATGTTGTGCATATTATGATGTGGTTGGGCCAACGTTGGGCCAACGTATTACTACCAACGCCAACTATGTGCCAACAAACCAACGATTCCCCTACGTTGGCCCAACGTATGCTTGCTATCTGGGTACCTCTGCATCCGCCCTTGAGTCAGCACTGCTTTTTAGTGAGTAGCCATATTTAGTCCTTGGATCTGTTAGTCCATGAATCAACTTGTTCTGAATGCCCCATAGGCTAATCTGGCTAAAGGACCCATCAACAGTCTCTTTGTGTGAAAGGAGAGAGCAGAAGGATAGGGGGATGGGATGTCCGATTACGTGAATGATCATATATCTGCTCAATAATAGACGGCTTAAAGGTATGTGTAACATATGAACCAGCTTATGTAATTGTGTATTTGTATTACATATGAGTTACAGTCTTCACTCCACACCAACTCACTTGTACGATGACATATCCGGGGGGGGGGAGCATTGCTGTGAAGGTACCCCTTCTCCCCCTTTTTTTTCTCCCCCCCCCAAAAAAAATAGCTATTATTACAACTTAAAATGGGAAAAAAGCAAACATTTTTTTCATCCCCGTGTCTAACATATATATAATACAGTAAATTAATTGTCCTTGTCTATTATATTTTGTTTACAAAGATGAGGGAAAAAAAAATATCCTCATGCCCCCTTTAGTATAAAGTCCTGGATCCTCCCCTGTGTTAGAGGCCAACATGGAGGACACAGAGGAGACATCACCTCCTCTACTAGCCAAGGTAAGACTGCAAATTATGTTAACAACAGCCAAAAATTACATTTAGCATGTACATGCTTATACACTATTAACACTTGCAGAAAAAAGTTTTGAATTCAGAAAGCACATACCACATTTAAACATAGAGCAAACTTTGAAAATGTAGCTTTTGAGGGTTAAAATGAATTAAGCCAGAGAGTTCTTCACATATGATGCTCCTCTTTGTAGATTAATTGATATTGACTGTACATGTATAAACTTCACCCTTCTTTCCACTACGAAATGTCTTTGATATTCATTCATTTATTAAAATCATTGATTAATCAAAATAATATATATGGGAAATGTACCCATGATCCATTGTAATGATTTCAAAATAAAATGTTCTCTCTCCTGTGCATGTAATCTATCAAAGTTCTAAGAAATCGAGGGTAACATATGAACTTGATAACCTGTTGAAAGATGACTTTATCTCATACTATATCTGAGACTGAGTTCCCATATATATGTATCACCAAGGGTTTTCTCACTAAATTGCTTTCAGCTTAAGCGGCTTAGATGTCTGGCACACCTACTGAAGCTGCTAAACAAGTAGGTGTGCCAGACATCTAAGCTGCCTATAAATTGATTACATTTTAGCAAGAATCCTCTTGGAGATAGATTTATCTACAGTTAGTACGATTGACTCTGGGAATGGTCCCTAACGGACTGTTTGTAATGAATTTTGTCAACCTAGCTTATGTAAGCAAACTCCACAGGGACTCTCACTGAATGTAATCAGATGAACAGTCTCCAACATGCTTCCTCATGTTTCCAATGTTCTCGAATAATCACCATCTTTACTATTTTTGCCAATGCCAGGAATAATTAAGTGTGTGTATTATAGTCAGTTAATTAATCTGATTGCATTCAGCAAGACTCGCATAGAAGTTAGGTAGGTCAAGAAAATTCACTGTGCACGTCCCTGTTTGTCCACTGCCTATTTGCTGTGGAGATAATGGTATTGTATATAGAACCACTGGCCAGTGCATGTGAAAGGGTTAACTTTAGCATGTTCATGCTGCATTCTTCAGCAGCAAACTGTCCAGCATAATGTTTATTAAACACATTATAAACATAATTCATCAGGTGGATAGGTATACATTGACATACCTGAAACAGAAGAATCTTTATCAGGATGATGAAAACCCCATTACAAGAAAATTACATTTATTTCTTTTTTAAGGGGCTTGGGGGGGGGGGGGGAGGGGAGGGAAGGGGGTTCAACAATATTGAAAACATTTACAGGGTCCCATACAGCAGATAGAAAATTAAATTAAAAAAATAAATAAAATAATAATAATTAAAGCACTGAATTTATACAACAAAGGTATATACGTTAAATCCAGTGCAGATCAGTACAGTTATGTAGGCAAGTTAAATTTCCATTGATTGACATATGGGACTCATATGTTTTGATATCCCATGGTTTTAAGTGTTTTTTTTTTTTTTTTAAGTTGAGCATTTGTTTAGCATTATGACAGATCCCGGGGGGGGGGGGGGGGGTTGATTTACAGTTCAAAACACAAATTTGGGATATGTAGTGACTTATAGGATATGTAATTTTGATTACCTTTTTGGCAGACATAAAATTTTTAAATTTAAAAACCGTTCATTCTCAAACCACCCCATTGATTTTTACTTCCCAGTTTCATTGTTTTCTTAATTTATTTTTATTATTTACATGTGCTTTGAAACAAACATTGCTGCCAATGAACACATATTTCATTGCTTTTCATTCTGACTTGACAATGACTTGACCTTTCACACAATCTCTTATGCACGAGAGTGGTAGACTAGTAACTAACTGCAGGGCCGTAGCCTGAGCAAAATGCCAGGGGGGGCAGTAAGCGGACACGAAGGGGCAAAGCCCCCGATGGGGGAGGGTGTGGGAGGTGGATGATTGTCTAGTGGCCATGAGTGCATTTTCTCACAGACTTGATATCAACTTTGCAATTTTTTTTTCACCTTTCCCCCCCTGCTCCCCTGGAGGCTACGGCCCTGAACTGACCACTCAACTAGCTTCTAGGAGCCTATAGTAGCAAACAGTTCAAAGGAGGGACTATAAATTCTTTTGAAAAGTGGACATTTTACCATGAATTACACCCCCATGTATCTAGATCAAATTTTCCCAGAACGGAACCTTTTCCCGCCATAAAGGGCGGTTCGTTCCATCCCCCCCCCCACCCCCTGTACCTCACCCCCCATCTGGGTCAATATGACCTTTAGTAATGTAAACAGTGCGGTAGTTAAAGAGATGTACCGTTTTTATTATTATTATAGAGGGGCCTGTAATGTGAAGTTAAATAAAGGAAAAACTTTCTTTCTTTCTGTTTTTTTAAATATTTTTCAGCAGAAATGTCTGACCTTCAAAATCTAAAACATTTTTCAGAAATTCATTTTTAACACTCAATATTAATTAAATTGGCTTAAGCCAATTTAAAGTTTCTGTGCATTTCTTCCCTAATTTTTCTAGTTCCTATGAAAATGGAAACATTTGCTCATTGGCATCTTTTAATTAAAATTAAAAGCATGTTATAGGCATTGGGGTTCAGGTAAAGTTTATATAACCAAAAGGATCTTAATTTTGGCAAACAAAGCGACTGTACGTTGCTTTAACACAAGTGCCAGCAGTAGAAGCCCTATCTGAGTTCCCTGTTACTGGTTGCAAACACACAGATTGCACATACCATACTACAATTTGAAAGCAAAGGGGACAGAGCCCTATATAGAGACTTTCAAGGGAACCCTCTCATAAAATGAAGCTGCAGACAAAAGAGGTACGATCACTGGTTTGTTTCTGTATAATTTGCTAATGTTTTCAGATTATTGTTTATCTCTATTAAGAATCAATTTTGATTGGTAGCTATATATATAATTAATTTTTATGACTTTAACAAAGGAACTTAATGTTTCACAATACTTAAAGTAACAGTGCTGAGGAAGTGCCTAAATGTATATATAGGTAGGGTTATTGAAGTTGTTGACATGGAATTTAAGGTTAAATTGATCAAATTTAAAAGAAAAAGAATTATATATATATAATTTCGATATAAATCTAGACAACTATAAATCTGATATAAAAATATATAACAACATTATAAATAAAACCTGGAAATATTGAGGTAAATGGTTCATTATGTAGTTTTTAGAAAAAGGGGAAAAAGTTCAGAAATTGCAATGGAATGTACACGTGTGTAATATTAAAGGAAGGCATAAGGCCTGTGGTGTATTAGCTTAAAGCACAGATGCAAGAAACCTCAAGATAGGTTTACAAGTGCAAATTGAAGCAGCATGCTTTGAATGTGTGTACTTTAAGTGGGGAAATGGTGTGAAAAAATTACTGTTTAGCACATTTTTCTGGAGCTCTGATCCATTTCCAGTTCACTGTATCTAAATGAAAATGGGCAATTAACATCCTCCCTGTCTTTTCCTTGAACTTGCCTTATTAATTATTACTTGATAATACTCTCTCTCTCTCTCTCTCTCTCTCTCTCTCTCTCTCTCTATATATATATATATATATATATATATGCCTTACAATGATTCAAATTTAATAAAAGCACCTATTTCTCAATCTGTGGTGCTGGTATTGAGGGTAAGAAATTGTTACCATGTAGGCATACTGTAATACGTGATAGTATGTACTTAGTGAGGACACATATATTGTTCTTGTTACGAAAATGTGGTCTTAATATAAACAGAGGAAGTGTACATGAAAGGCAGGAGAATTAAGCACATCTCAATTAAAGTAAATTAAGGTTAGCTAAGGCTATAGAGTGGAGCATGCAAAAGTACGGGTGAGAAGCATGGACTATCAGAAATAGAAAAGGGAAAATGATCAACGCCTTTTGAGATGTTCCGTGGAGCACATCAAGTGATGAGTGGAAAATGGAAAGAGAAAGGAAAAAAATGAGTGGGTGCCTGAGAGAACAGGTAGGAATAACTGAAGATCATAGCATGCCGTAAGAAATCCAAAAGCAAAAAATCAGAAAGTTTGGACATTGGAAGAGGAGAGGTGAGACCTTGATGCTAACATATATATTGATATAAACAAAGAAATAAAAAAATAAAACATATAATGATAAAAAGAAGAAAATATAAATAAATAAATAAATAAATAAATAAATAAATAAATAAATAAATAAATAAATAAATCAAATAATGATACTTTAGTCTAAAAATTTTACACCAAAAATTTGTCTGTTATTATTTATATGTTCCATATAAATCCGTAATGATACAGTCAGTTTTTCATTTTGAAAATAATTAAAGAAGCAGTCTGAAATATTACACATGCTTTTCTGTTATAAAACGTGTATTACATTTAATTTTATTGGACTATTACTGATTTATAATATGTCGGGTGAGACTGGGGAGACCAGTTATTTTGTGAAACACTAGGGCCCTGCATGACCAAGGCATGGTTGATTCAGACATTATGTAATAGTAGTAGCTGATAACACCATTCACTGTTCATGTCCCTGTGCAGGACATAAATTAAATCTGATAAGAAAAATCAACTTCTCAATTGGAATGCAATATATCGCAAAGGTCATTATGTCTGGGCTCTGTCGTAAATGTCTATAGACATCATGGAATTACGTAGATATAGCACCCCCTGACAATGAAGGCCTTAATTCTGTCGTGGATTTGCTCTAATTTTCTTATCATTTTCTCATTGTGTCAACCCAAGTTACCTGTACATGTAATAAACTCCTGCATGATCAAAACATGGTGTTATGGAGATTATGTAAAAAGACCAGCTGATAGTGCTGTTTCATGCAATGATCAGCTAGTGTCCATGTGTGTGTCTGTGTGTGTGTGTGTGTGTGTGTGTGTGAGTGTGTGTTGGGGGGGGGGGCACATCTTCTTTTCTCTCTCCCCCTCCACCTCCACTCTTCCCCTCACAAAAAAAAAATAAATAATAAAAAAAAATAATAATAATAAAACAATTTGAAAATAAATAGTGATAATAAAATGAAAATCTATATAAACAAATCAATAAAATATATGAATAAAGAAAATACTACATAAATTAAGACAATGACATGTCTACCCCTAATATAAAAATAAATAAATTGTCCTCAATGGATATTTACAATAATTGTGTACTCTGTCCCCTCCTCTGCAATCGCACAATCCAGAAACCATGACGCCAGTGTACTGCTCAAGCTGCACAATACTGACAGGAAAAAATAAAAACAACTTCTTCATAAATGCGCAATATATCATGATAAAAAAATATCCCCCAGCGCATCAGTATTTTAAGCTACCTTTGAGTAAAAAAAAACAAAAAAGGAGTTCAAGAGCAAGAACTGAATTTCAGTTCTGTTAAATAAACTTTCCTCTTTTCTGTATGCTCACTAAAATTTTATCATCCACATTTTTGCAGAAATGGTGTAATAGAATGCTGATATTATAGGCAAAGTCACAGAAGACTTTGACCTCATTCCCACAGGCACCATCGGTCTGTATAGTTCGATCCAACTCCAAAAGGGACTCTCGCTGAATATAATCAGTTTAACAGATTAGCACGCTTAGCTCTATACTAGCATTAATTATAATACAGAACAGCGGGTGATTATAAGTACTTGGGCGTCTCGATAGTCCGAAGGTTCACTGGTCCGAAAAGTGGTAACATTTTCAGCGATTTTTAATCACGGGTTCATTGGTCCGAAGTTTCTATAGTGAACATTCGGACCAATGAACCTTCGGACTATTGAACCTTCGGACTATTGAACCTTCGGACTATTGAACCTTCGGACTATCGCTACGGTCCCATAAGTACATGAGCACATTGGAAACAAGAATATAGCCATATGTTGCTTAGTTAAGCTGATTGCATTCAGTGAGAGTCACGTACTGCAGAGTTGGATAGATCAACGTAGACCCATGGTGACTATGGCTGTATTCCCAGAGCTTTTAGATTGATCTCACTATATTACTGTCAGATAATCCGGCTTAAATGTCCGTCCCGCCTACTACAAGCTGTAAGGGGGTAATTAACTTTCGTGTCCGCTCTGCTGACAGCTATTTAGCGTGAACACCCAGGGAGTTAGGTCGATCTAAAGTAGATCGATCTAATCTCTGGAAATGGGGTCTATGGGAATGGAGTAATTTGAAACTCAGGATAAGCAGTCCCAGACAGATTTGGATTATGTAACGAATATATAATACGACATTGAAACGTGAGGTTATCTATCGCAGACAGCTTAATAAATAACCTACAAAGAGTTTACAATAAACATTCTAAAAACTAGTCTGACAGGCAGAGACTGAAATATCTGTAAAAAACCAACTGATAAAGGAAGTTTTGGGCATATAAAGTGCATGAATCAACTCCTGTCAATGTATAGAAGAGACATTTACAGTTCAGTTGTGACAGTAGATAATATAATCATACAGCCAAAAGCAGCACCCAGTGTCAGGAACCAAAGTATGGAAAAAAGTGTAATTAGTAATTTTAAAACTTTCATACATGTTGTTGTATTAACTCAATCAGAGGAAGCCATTGTTTGATAAAATTCAGACATGGGAAGCCAAGTTCTACAAGTTGTTCAGATAATGCTTCACACCTTGCAGTTCAAATTTTAATATCCTTTGTTCCGAAGCCAGTAATCTGTTAGAACTAGATTACAGGGTGTTATTGGGAGTGCCCACCTGGAGGAGGTGGCCTTGTGTATGAAGTAACCAATCAGTTTTTAAGTTATGTGATGGACAGTTTAACTGATAAAGTTCTGTATAAAAATCTGTAAACTTAAATCTAGAGAGAGGGGAGAGATAGAAGGAGAGAGAAGTCATACTTGTATCATGTAACTGTTAGTGAAGCAAAATATATTCTGTTGAAGTTACAACATGGTGTCGTTTCATTCTTTTCCGTGTGCAGAATTTAAGACAAGGAATCTGGGAATCTCTGTAGCAGTATTACAGATAGCGTTATCCAAAGATGTGAGCCCATTGAGCCCAAAACCCTAGGGTTATATCATAAAAAGGTATTTTAGGTAATGTGGGGCCCTGGGATGGTTTTAAGGGGGTTCCTCACACCAGATATCTACTGTACATTTCTCAAAGGGTTGGATCTATCTATGTAGACTGATATGGTGTCTATATGGGAATGGGGACTTAAAAACTCAGGGTTCCAGACAGACTAAAATACCTGTAAAGAAATTATTCACTTAGACTTGGAAACTCAAGGCAATTTGTCTCCACAGGCAGATTGAGATATCCCTATAAACAGGTTACATTCTGATAACCAGGCTGGTCTAGCTGTCACGCATTATCTGTAAAAAAACAAACTGATAAAGGTACCGATGGGCATATTGTGTATAAACACCTGTCAATCTCTAGAAGAGACATTTTGATTTTTAATTGTTAAAACAGTTAAGTTGTGGTAGGAGATCAAATGGTCAGCCGATAGCGGCAACTATAAATTTACTGCTCAATATAGTGCTAATTAGACATTTGTAAAAAAAAAAGGCTTTATGATGATGTTCAGTCTGTTGTCACAACTAAGATAAGATAAAATTCAAAGCATAATAACTGGACTGTATTTGGTTTGAACACACCCTCCCTTCAAAAACAAGGCGTAGCAATAGTCTGAAGGTTCAAGTTCCAAAAGTTTCATAATCTGAATATATTAATGAAGTGTATACTGTGCTGGTAAAAAGGAAAGTTTTATCTGATGCATATGTGCATATATAGCCATATTAGACTGAAGTGAAACTTTGGGCGTAGGCCTATGCTCTACCTGAGGCCAGTAAAATGTACCGGTACACTTTTCTGTCATAAATTAGCCAGAGAAACATCTGTGAATATGTAGTGAAAACTGATGAAAATTCTTTGATATTTTTAGGACTTAATTTTCTTTTTAGACTAACGAGAGTCTCCCTTCAAAAGCACCAGCCCTACAATTTCTCAACTGAGTCATTACATAATTTGGGCATCCTGTGCTCCCAAACCTAAGGCTTGTGGTAGCATAGGACAATTTTTGATTCTTAAATCACTTAAAATGAATCTCAGGCCTCATAAACGATAAAAAACTACTCAGTTGCCAGGTTATTACATAAGAGAGTCATCCAAACAGTGCCTTAATTAGCGAGACAACCAACATTATTAGCTTTAAAGCAGTAACTTGTGGAGAATTAGAAAAGAGTGAAGCAGTGCCCCTGTAGCATATTAATTACAAACTAGATGGATCCTAATATGAGGGTCCTTTGGAGGGGATATGAGGGGGTTGTAGTGATCACAGTTCTCGGAAAATCAAATCAAATCACAAATCACAGTAAATAAAACTCTTTCAAATTCAAAGAAGATGCAAGTCTGAGTCTGGCAAGTTGAAAATCACGAATCACCGAGCATCATGACTTTGTTTCACTAAGGGTGCTTTCCCAGAGATTTAGATCGATCTAAAGATTAAGATTTAGATCGACCTAACTCCCTGGGGGTTCACGCTAAATTGCAGTCATGCAGCCGAGTGGGCACCATAGTTAATTACCCCCTTACAGCTTTTAGTAGGCGGGACAGACGCTTAAGCCAACCAAGCTGACAGTAATCTAGTGAGACTCCCCACAGGGATAGATCGATCTAAAAATCTATGGAAATGGGGTGTAAGAATGAGGAACAAAGCCGTGGGTGCTTCATGGAACATGGTGACTAAAATAAACCTTTCACACATCTCAGACTCAGGAAATAAAAAAGTGACTTTCACAGATAACCAAAATACCCAATGAGACCCTTTAACATGTTGTTGTAAAAATGTCACTTAACCTCGTATACCCACATATACTTAATTGCCACAAAGAATTAAAGGATGTTTAAGATCTAGAATAAGGTGATGATGATAATACATAAATACCTGTGTATAAGATGAACCTGTAATTGTTACATTATATACTCACCGAGACACACCTTTGTAAATGTGAGGAGGGATTAAGGGAGTTTTTCACGAAAATACAATGCGTGGTGTTTTTAACCCACCTGAGATGTTCTTTACTGTATGTCAAGAAAACACTTCTCACTCCCGGAAAATGACACCATGCTTTAAGAAGAGCAAAATGGATGGGGATCCTCCATTTTCTTGGCAATTTTGTTATGCCAGTAATGAAGTGTGAATGAAATTTTAACAGTGTGGAGGTATCAGTTGTGTGAACAACTCATGGTCTAGCTGTTTGTTTGTTTAGATTAAAAATGTATTTTTTTTATTAAAGCTTTGATTGAAATATGATCGAATCAAATATTCATTTCCTGACAGTAATATCATATACAAGCCCTTGATTATTTTTGGTAAAATGATAAATCTGTTTTTTTTTTTTTTCATGTTTTGTTCTAGTAGAATGCATTCAATCCCCTGTCCCCAAAAGAGGACTATGAAATCATGTTGGGGAGGGGGGTTACATATTAAATCTATCCCTGGCTGTCTGTAATACTAGCAGTGTAGTCTCTCTCTCTCTCTCTCTCTCTTTGTCAAATGTCAGACATGAAATTATAAATTATAGAATGTTTTTTTTTTTTACTCATTAGACAAATATAAATTGAGTCACTAACACTAGTACTGCTTATGCATGATACAACATATATATGACAGAGAAAAGTATTTAATCTTTTGCTGCAAAATTTACTTGGTATAGGCAGTTTGTTTCAATCATATCACATGATCTTGTTTCAGCACCTAAGATAATTTTATGAATGATATCCTTGTGCTTGATTGAAACATTTTACTGGTACAACTCAGTAATACTTTACCAATTCATTCATAGTACATTTAACACTTAATTATTTCTTTATTTTAGCACACTTCTGGTGAAGTTACAATAACAGAATCAACAGAAAATGGGTCTGATAAAGATGACGACAGGCTGCAGTATAGCATTGAAGATGTGCCCCCATGGTACATGTGTATCTTTCTCGGTCTACAGGTTAGTAATATTGAAGGAGGGGGGGGGGGGGGTCTCAATAATCTGAAGGTTCATTGGTCTGAAAATTCATTTGTGCACGCCTCTTATTAACTTCACTTCATTTATATGCATTAATTCACTGCTGAATCTTTGGACCAGTGAAGCTTCTGACTATTGCTATATAGAGAGTTAATTAATGTTCTTATTAACTATGCAGTAGTGTGTTATTAATGTTTTGAACTTTACACTCTTTACTTTATATAATCTATATTATTATATTATATTATATTATATTATATTATATTATATTATATTATATTATATTATATCCAGCATTACTTGACCATGTTTGGAGCCACAGTGGTCATTCCATTCATCCTGTCACCGGCACTGTGTGTGGCTGGGGACAAGATAGTTACCAGTCAACTTATTGGGACCATCTTCTTTGTGTCTGGAGTGGCTACTTTGTTACAGACATTGTTTGGTTGCAGGTAAACATTTTGTTATTATGATAAGCAATTAATTTATTTATTACTTTTTATTAATTTCATAAATAGTCAGATGGCACTGCAAATATTTTGTTGTATATTTAATTTGTGACATTTTGTTGTATTATATCTTATTATTTTACACATTTTTGTCATTGTTTTTTTACAGAAACTTTAAAAGTTATTAATTCATAAATACAAATTTTGTTTGATACAATCATTTTCAGACAAAACTTTATAAGTAACATTTAATTGTAATATTTAGAATACAATTTAATCATTTGTTTTTTATTTATAAATAGGTTTTTAGAAATTTCAAGAACTTATAATGAACTCCTGAATATTACTGTATTTTTTTCTTGAATGAATTGCAGGCTCCCAATTGTTCAAGGAGGAACGTTTTCCTTTTTGGTTCCAACCTTTGCCATCCTTAACCTTCCTCGCTGGCAGTGCCCTACCATCCTTACCCAAGGTATCTGTGTGTGAGGGTGCATGAATGTGTGCAAATGCATATGTGTATATGTGTTCAGAGCTGTGCATGAGTACATCATTTGGGGATGATTTATGTATATGTATGCATGCAAATTGTGTGTGTGTGTGTGTGTGTGTGTGTGTGTGTGTGTGTGTGTGTGTGTGCGCGCGCGTGTGTGTTTCTGTGCATATAAGCATACCATTTCTCTGTTTTTTTAAAAGAAAATTCTGATTATGCAAAAAAGTAATACTTTGATGTATATAATGCTAAATTAATTTCAGCAAGCTTTACAAAGTACGCAACTCAAAGAAAAGTGATTTACTGAGTAATTGAAAGTAAATGCTGTTTGCATATTCTTGAAATAATGGTTTCATAGCTTTTTAGATGAAAGAAGAGCTACAAATAACTAAAATAATAAATATTAATTTTTTACTTAAAAAATGACCACTTCTCTGCTAATTTAAAATGTATAGTGCATAAGCTCTAGATATTTAAGTTATGAATTTATTAATATGTATTTTATTTTAGTTCAAGCGGCCAACTACACCCAGTTTAATCAAACTATTCCAAACATAGTGGTAGGGTCAGCAGAACACACAGAGGTCTGGCAGTCAAGAATAAGGGAGGTAAGACCATGATTTACACACACAGGCCCATAGCCAGCAATTTAAAGAGGGGATTTTATATCTGACAAGTGGACCTTTAACCATGAAACCTTCATGTACCTAGATAAAATTTTACCCAGAGGGGACCTCTTTAACAGTAGAAAGGGTGGCTTGTTCAAACTCCTCGAACCCCTCTGGCTATGGGCCTGACACACACACACACACACACAATCTCAGACAGAGGGAGTCAGTTCTTCCACATTGACTGAGTCTCAGAGAGTATTTTTGCCAATCAACTATTTATGACTGCATGCATAGGCATGTGGAAAATAGAGGTTAAAACCTCTATTTTCCACATGCCTATGCAAGCAGTCATTTTTTTCCAGACCTCAGTTAAAGACCTTGTATAATAATCATGGTGAAAGTTTTGATTCACCCAAGATTATGAAAAAAAAAATTATAATACTGGATCTTACATTATAATGAAGATCACAATGTTTTCACCCTATCCAAAGGTCTTCTTCATGTGAAATGATTTTGAGTTGTCACTGGTGTCATGTCAGGTTGAAATGAGTTTTTTGTTGACCTTTTTAAACCCTCATATAATTCTCACATTATTTTTTTTCTTGGTATTTCATATCTTTAAACTTTTATATTCATTTTGCAGATACAGGGTGCCATTATGGTTGCCTCTTTATTCCAACTCATCATTGGCTTCAGTGGCGTTATGGGGATTCTCTTGCGTTTCATTGGTCCATTGGCTATTGCGCCCACCATAGCCCTGGTAGGACTGTCTCTGTTTAAACCTGCATCCGATTTTTCTTCTACGCACTGGTGGATAGCCATTTTGTGAGTATATATTTCTGAATTCTTCCCAATAGTATATAAAAATTATTTTTGTACTGTCTGTCCTCCACAGACATAACTGCAGTAACTTAAATTTTCCCTTAAGGTTACTTAATTGAACATTTTCACAATATATTTGCATGCCTATTATTGCATTACTTTGAATATATAAAAGTTTATTCAATAATCACCAAATAATTTTCTCTTAAAGCAAATAAAAAAATTGAACGTGTTCCTCATTTAGATTGCACAGTTTTTTTTCTAATCAAGAATATTCTTTTAAAATTTTTTTTAAAAGAGACATATATTCATGCCGTCTTCCACATTATTACTGTTTGCATGCAGGGAATTGATATTTGAATCTCTTTAAAAAGAGATATGACCCTCATAAAAGGAATTTACATTATAACTGTCATGTGGAGCCCAGACTAGCTGTCATGTGGAGCCCTGATTGGTATTGCTGAATATGAGTCACATCCAGAAAGCCCACAGTGACACCTATCAATATTTTTCAGAACCATAATCCTCATTGCAGTCTTCTCACAGTACATGCGTAGGATAAAGATACCTTGCTGTGGATATTCCAAGAAAGATGGCTGCCATAGAGTCGGCTATCCTATCTTTACCCTTTTCCCTGTAAGTGACAGGCATCAAGTATTATAAACAAATGAATTCAAGATAAAATGTAATATACGGCTCTCTTTGACCATGACTGTGTACATGTGTGTACAATTGCACACATGCGCATGAACAAATATGCAAGTACCATGCATGCATAATGTGGCAAAGACTTGTGCACAGATGCATGCAAAAAAACTTACATACATACCTATTTATGCACACTTAATGGGCCAAAAGACAACCACAGGTCTATAAAGTACAAAATGCAATGTGTGTGTGTGTGTGTGTGTGTGTGTAGAAAAAAAAAAGGACTGAAAATTTGTTCCAAGATTTTTCAGCCCCACTTTTTCCTATACTTTTAGGTGATTTTGTCCATTGTGATAGTGTGGGGCATCTGTGCTATTATCACCTTCACCAGTGATGTTACAGGCTGGTTTCCTGAAGACAAAGACAGCTGGGGTTTTGGTGCCAGGACAGACTCCAGAGGATCAGTTTTGACAGATGCTCCTTGGTTTAGGTTCCCCTATCCAGGTAATACCATTGGCCAAACAAGGGGCTCAGGTTCATTAAGGAACCTATAGATGAACATCTAGCATATGTATTGTAGGGTATTTAAATGTGCACAGATTATGATGGACATAGATCTATTGGAGAAGATCTTATAAAGCATCCCCCCCCTCACAAATCCTGTATAGTATCAAGAATATAGCATATATGATAATGTTATCATAAAGGCCAATATATATATATATATATATATATATATATATATATATATATTATGGAGGGTCCTCTTTTGCCAGCCCCATATCATTGTTACATATTTGATTATAATTATTATATATTATTATCAAGGTCATCTCCAGTGTAAGCTAAGCCTGTAGCATATGTTACATAGGAGCCTCTAAGTGAAATGTTCTTTAATTAGTTTGTTTTAAAGGGGTCCTCTAGTCGCAAGGCCTGTAGTATATATCTCATAAAGGGACCTGGCCACTAGTGCAATATGGTTACGGTATACTACTTTGGCCCCCAAGTTCAAGGTCAAGTTCAAGGTCAAGGTCAAGTTCAAGGTCAAGTTCAAGTTCAAGGTGACACAGTGGATCATATGTTTGTTTAATTTCTAGGACAGTGGGGCCTCCCCACAGTGAGTGTCAGCGCTGTATTTGGGATGTTGGCGGGCGTGTTGGCCTCCATGGTGGAGTCAGTGGGCGACTATTACGCCTGTGCCAGACTGTCTGGAGCCCCGCCTCCACCTGTTCACGCAATAAACAGAGGTAAGTGTACAGCTGGTCATTGATATCTTAGGCTGTGTTCTGAAGAGAATTATCATGCTAGCAGGATGATTAAAGAACTTGGGTGTCCCCCCCCCCCCTTTATACGCAATTAACAGAGTTTGGCACTACATAAACTTATTATCATCTTATAGAACTTGTAAAAAAGTATACACGTAGCATACACTATCAATGTACAACAGATAATGTTTTAACATCAAGAATTTTTATACAATGATTCACTTATCTCCATAAAAAAACATAATGTTTACTGTCAAGGATTATTGTGTTATTTCCACTCATTTCCCTATTGTAGGTATTGGAGTGGAAGGTTTGGGGTGTATTATAGCTGGGATATGGGGAACAGGGAATGGGACGACATCTTACAGTGAAAACATTGGTGCCATTGGAATCACTAAAGTAAGTGCCATATGCGGGGAAAATATGGCAATTCAGGCCCGTAGCCAGGGGAGGTTCGGGGGGTTCGAAAGAACCACCCTTTTTGCTGGGAAAAGGTCCACTCTGGGTAAAATTTGATCTATGTACATGAGGATTTTATGGTAAAAGGTCCACTTTTTCAGAAAACGAACCCCCCCCTCTGAAATTGCTGGCTACGGGCCTGCAATTACCCACAGATGTTGCTAAAAAAATTTTTAACACTTCCAAAGCAATGGGTTACTGGTAGAATCTAATAGATGTGAATTAAAAGGTTTTAGATAGAAACTACAAAGTATGCTTAAGTGAAAAACTTCTTGAAATACTGTAAATATATATATATATATATATATATATATATATATATATATATATAATAGTTTAAAATATGCAATAACAGAAAAATTGCATGCTGGGATAGAAATTCAGAATTTTTGCCTGAAGTTAGATCTCACTTACATGCTAATGAATTAAATTGTCTGTTGTTGAGCAAAACAGAAAAATTATGATACAAAATTATTATCTCTATCTGTTCAATTTCTAAGCAGGCATCTCATCTAAAAGACTCAATTAACAAAATAAATATACTGTTTTAAGAACATCAAGTTAATTAGCATTGCAGCAATGCTTAAAACGTTGATGTTCCTGAACAGCTCTCTTACCATACGTATTTTCACTTTCAGGTTGGCAGCAGGCGTGTCATTCAGTTTGGCGCCATCTTTATGCTGCTTCTTGGGGTGCTTGGGAAGTTTGGTGCCCTGTTTGTTACCATTCCTGACCCAGTGGTCGGTGGCGTCTTCATGGTTATGTTTGGTAAGTTTAGGTGTGACTTGATAAAAATATAATAATAATAATAATCATAATAATAATAATAAAAATTGCTGTTTTTATGATAATAGTTTCTTCTACAGTGTATGAATTCTATGGATAAATCCTTGTGGGCCCTACAATAAATGCTAAAATGATGTCATATTCAATCATATTACTAATAAGAAATAATAAAAGTTTGCAAATCTGTTTGTAACTTATGTGGACCGCTGTGTTTTTTTTTTTTTTTTTTGTCTCAATTTGTTAAGGTTTTGCAAGTAAGATAGTTTTGTATTTGGAAAGATACCAAATTTTCTTTAGTCTGACATTGTTGATGTTTGTTATCTTAAGTATACATGTTTCTTCTAAACATGTTTCTTCTAATTAAAACTTAATTCCATACCTTGACTTTGATAAAATATTTTTGAAAAAAATGTCTATGAGGCAGCACAAGCTTACGTTTGTTAACATATTTTTTTTTCAGATTTTCCATTTATTATTAATTGTCTCCATTACAGGAATCATTACAGCTGTAGGGATTTCCAACTTACAATTTGTTGACCTGAATTCTCCAAGAAATCTCTTCATATTAGGGTTCTCTTTTTTCTTTGGGTTGTCTTTGCCTCAGTGGCTGACAGCCAATCCAAATGCTATTCAGACAGGTACAGCCTTTTCAACTTAATTTAACCAAACATTAATCAGTTGTAGTAACACACCTCAATTTAAATGTAATACTGATGTTACAGACCAATACCTACTTCATTGTAGTGAAGTACCATAATAGGGTTTTTTTTTCTTGAACTGAGGTTATAGTAAGCCATTTTTAAAACTTTTTAATTTCTGGACAGAAGATTTTTTTTAACTTTGTGAAACCAGTTCCAGCAGAATTAGTTATAGCATTTAAAAGCTGTTAGTATTATCAAATCCAACCTCACAGGAAGTCTGTTTCAACAGTGCAAATTGTTTCAACACGGTTCCATTTTGAACCAATTTAGTCTACATCTTAAAGTAAAGATGATTCATTTTATTTTATTTTACAGGTAGTGAAACCATGGACCAGATCCTCACAGTCCTCTTCAGCACCAGCATGTTTGTAGGTGGTGCTGTTGGCTTTGTTCTGGATAACACAATTCCTGGTGAGCTCCTCGATTTCACAAATAAAATGTAAAAAAATTTTAGCGTAACACAAATTTTGTTCACCTGACATTCATCTACATATAATCTTATTGATTTCTTCTCAGACTTTGTACTTTTATTATTAGCAATAACCAGTCTCTTGTGGTTTTCTGTTCTTATTATGTATGCTGAAACTTTAATAAAATTTCTTGAATCTTGAATCACAATTTATGTACATGTATCAGATACAGAGTAACTTTTAACCTATGGCATATTGTTGCATTTGGCAAGCACTGTTTGAGCCAGCCAATTTGCTTCAGTGAGTGAATACGAGTGGGACCTGTTCAATGCTTTGTTCCTTGACAGCTAGGGGGTAATTAACTATTGTGTGCTGATTGATCTGATTCCACTTTAGTAAGAATCCCCTGCAGAGTTGGACTAACCCATCAAGTACAATTTGTGAATCTGAATGCGCCGTATGTGAAGAACTGTAGGAAATCCTCTCAATACAAACAGATGCTAATGAAAACATATTACACTTCTGCACGGGCAGAGGAAACAAGTAGAAAGCAAAGGGTAAAGAACATTCTCTCTTTCAGGTACTGACAAAGAGCGTGGCATTTTACAATGGCGGAAACAGGTACACGGCGATACATCAGATGCACAAGTTACCACGGGACTGGAGTGTTATGATCTGCCTTTTGGAATGTCTGCCATTGGCAAAACCAGCTGCCTGAAATATGTTCCATTTTGTCCGACATTTTCCAACAAAAGTTGGTCATGTAAGTGCTGCCCCAAAGCTTGTACATGTTGCCACGGTGATGATGGTAACCGTGCTGATGACATGGTCATGGTAACCTCTTCTGGAGATCAGGCTGTGACAAATAATGGTTTTTATAACACTAAAATTTAAATTCCAATTTCTGTCGTTCATATGGATGCCCATGTATATAAAGTATTCTCTTTGTAAAAGTACTGAAAAGCGAGTTTTATAAAAGCAGCATATTTACTTTCACATTTATATTGATCAATATTATTGTGTAAAACTTGCACAAATCCTTTTCTCAGGAAAAATATGAAGTAGTATTGAACAGTTACTTATTGCTTGTATCCAAAACTAGTCCTGCCTTTTTAATAGAAAGTAAACTTAACATGAGAAGTGTTTTACAGCAATAGTTAGCTATGGGTATATTGTGATAATGTTTGCAAATTAATGTAAGTAAACCTAATACCACATTTAAATGGACCAAAAGTATTGATTTTAAGAATTATGAAGAAGTCAGTGAATAATTACTTATTGTTTGACAGCCTTTAAGCCTTGTCTTCATTTAAATACAAAATAATTTTAAACACTAGGGGTGCTTTATCCATATCAAAAGAGCAATAGATATATTGTCATAGCATAAAATAGTATTATTTTCACAATGTTTTATAGATTTTTACAATTTACTGGACAATTTTTATTGTTATGACTGCTTTGTCGGCCCCATTTTTCTGTAAATTTTTTAATGTAATTACTGTTTTCTGGGGCCTATTTTTACAAATAGGTTTTATTGTAATGACTACACAATTTTCAGAGCAAATATTACATCAACACTCCCTAAAAACAATTTAACAGTTAAATTGTAGGTTTTAGATAGCTACTCCCATTATTATGATAATGAAATAACATTATAGTAAAACATGAAGGAAAAAAAAATTTTTTTAAATAAAGGACAACTGTTGAGTTTTTTCTTGGCATCATTTTAATTCTACAAATTCTTACAGTAATTGGTGATATGTCTATTTAGACCCATCACATTTTAACTTACAGTTACAGGAACCATCACATGAAGAATCATAAAACTGTCTTTTGTGAAAGTTTTTTTTATAACTAAGGACAATGTCATATGAATGACTTTCTACTGAACATCTCTCATAAAAAACAAATAAATATTATGATTTTCAATGGATTTGCTTTTGTCATTAACCAGGTTTTTCTTTTACAAAGAGTGATACACAAATCAATTTGTAATGAGTATAAAAAGAAAATATCAATAAGAAGATTATGAAGTAGTGACTTCCAATTTACAGAAAAAATTCCTCAATTAATTACTTGTAGTCCATTCAAACAAAGAACGATTACAAAATATCTTTCCTTCAAGTTGGGAATTCTTCTTTCACCTTGATGATTCTAATGTCACCTTTTGGGATTCCTTTCATCTTTTAACCTTTGCCAAAAGAATTTCATTCTTGCGGCATTCCTGCAAAAAAGTAATAAAAAATCCATTACACTCAGATTTCTCATTTGAATAGTGTCCTATTATTAATTATTTAATTCAAAGCTCTTCCTTTTATGTGCGTAACCTTTACACAAGTATCATCCCTTCATCACATTCTTGTACATTAAACTTGAAACTATGTCTTGCAAATTTCTCATCTAAATATATTATCTTTATCACTTTACCAACAGTCAACACATGGTCTGTATCACCATTCTTACATTAAATACAATGGAGAGAGGCAGAATCCTGTATCTTTTAAGCAATTACTTTCCACATGCCTGCATATAGAAAATAGACGAAAAAAAAAAGATACTGTGGCAAAACTGAGGCACCAGGGAGCAGCAAGAGCAGCCCTGAATATTGGCATGGGGTTGTCAATGGACTATGCACATCTGCAGGCAATGGTCCCACTCAGGATGGTCCCCAAAGAGACCATTTCCACAGATTTTTGGATCGATATATCTCCCTGGGGAGTCTCACTAAATTGCGATCAACTTAACTGGCTGAAATGTCTGTCAAACCTAGTAAGGCTGTTAGGGGGTAATTATTATCTTTACCCCAGCTGATTCGGTAGGCATGACAGGCAGTTAAGCCTCTTGAGCTGATAGCAATTTAGCGTGAAACCCCAGGGAGTTAGGTCAATCCAGATGGATCGATCTAAGTATGGGACCCCAGTCTAAGTATATCCGATTCTTAATTTATTGCCCGCCATGAGTAGCAAGAGCAACACGTGCATACCTCTTTGAAATCTTTGACAGTTTTAAAATACTGTCTCTGCTTTTCAATTAGATCCAAATACTGGTCATTTAACTGGTCCCGCCTCATTTTTTCCTCCTGTTTCTTCTTGTCCATCTTGGCTCGGTTTTGTTTGACACCTTCTACGATCTGTTCAAACTGTTTCAGAAACTGTTCTTTATTGGCTGGGGAAGACATTGCTCTTAAAAAAAATTATGACAGCAAATTAATATGGTTCCATTTTTGGCATACTTCAATATATACCATGCACTCAAATCAATTGTCACACTTACTGTGAAAAGTTACCAAGACATCAAAACTGATTGTTTGTACTGCAAAACGTCATCAATAAGTCAAACCAATTGTCGTACCGTAAAACGTTCCCAGTAAGTCAAACCAATTGTTATATTTACTGCAAAAAACACCAAGAAGACAAACTGATTGTCATACTTACTGTGAAAAATTATCATGTATGGAATTAAGTAGGTTAAACTCTTTGTTCAGGTAAAGTTTGGTGTCATCCAGGGTGTTGTACAGTGTATAAAACTGTTTGGTTTCTTTGTGGGTAAAAGCAACTGAAAAACATTTATTGCAAAATTATAAATCTAGAGAAGTCTCTTGGACCGGTAGTTCCCAGAAAACAGTTATCACAAAAATATATAACTTGAGAAATCACTTAGACTAGTACAGTAGACCCCAGAAAAAAAGATATGATAGATATATGTATCTTAAGAGTCACTTGCAATGGAATAGTAGACCCTAGAAAACAGTTCTCACATAAATATAAAAAATTTATATATCTTTAGAAGTTAACTGAACTAGTAGGCCTCATGTAATAAGTCTGAGGGTGAAATTAATAATAATAATAATAATAAAAAAAAAACAGTATCAGAATCTTCTAATGAGATCAACGCTAAATCTGCAAGGCATCTGCTTTTGAGTAATGACTAGCTTAGCAGCCTGTAATGTCAGATCTTTTATGTTCACCTTGGTTGTAAAGTTCCACAAATCTCCTCTGGTACTGGCTCAGCTCTGCCCGGGATGGTACCTCGTCAATCTTTCGCTGCAGCGCTGCTATTTCGCGAGTCTTCCGTGCCTAGTAACATTCCAGACATAATCATAAAATATTTTTTAAAAATTAAAAAATAAAAAAATACATTTTCACAGATGTTTTAGTGTGACAACTAGACAATTTCACAATGCTTTTTCTTCCTTTCAAGTGAATAAATTGCCCTTATAATCCTCTATGTCCAATCTGAAAATTCCGACATTTTTTATTACATTTCACGAAGTAACATTACTTGCAGTTGTGGACCTAACTCACAAGTTTGAGTGTTTAAGTCTTATAAAATTGTTATTGACAACAAAAATAACTTTCTTCTGATATATAGTGTCTTATGTCTTAAATGCTGTGCTGTATACTTTACCAGTAGAAGTCGTATCTTATGCAGTTTCTCTTTGTCTGCTTCAAACTGGCGCTCAATCATCTTAGTCCTTTCCTGTATAAAACATGTCGTCAAAAATCAAAATATGTAATTTTATCATTATGCAAAGAGAACTGTATTTCATCAGTAAAAATCTGTACTGCTTAAATTTTACACGCACAAAAAAATATCGAAAATCCAAAATATATATCTTTTTCAAACATACTTATTGCCTGTTTTCAACATTAAAATGTAAATTTTAAATTAATAAATCAATCAATTGTCTCCATCTTTTAATTCCATAAATTTTCACCCTCAGAGACACAAACCTGATCTTCTCCGGCTTCCTCTCCAGCCTCCGCTTTCAGGCTCTCAATATTTCCCTGTAATCTCGCCATCTCTTCCTACAATCAGAATTGGAAGTAGATCAAGCTTTTTCAAAAAAATCCATCAAGTAAACACAAACTACAAAAGTGCCCAGCTCTCTTTGTGTGCATGCGTGGGTGGGGAGGGGATCAACAACCAAATTTCCAGATTAGAATTTCTTCTCTATACAATGAAAAACACAGAATATGTGTTTTATTGAACTGACAAAGCGTTTACACTTGATATTAAAATGTATCTGTAATCTGGTGAAAAAATTTCATCTGCCTCTAGTATACAATGATAATGGTGATAAAGCAAACAGTTTCTAAAGGGAAAAAATTGTCTAGTTTTATATTATTATCATTTTTTATGAGGCATGGGCTAACCATTTATATGATCAAGGATTGAAATGTGATGACTCATAGGTGAAATTTAAGTATTTACTTTTTTACTCCTTGAAAGGCATCAAATGTAACGGTCAGAAGAATGTGCAATTCCTACATAACTGTTAGGGCGGGTTCACTATGTAACCACCATGCAAGGTAGATCAATTCAAAGCTGAGGGGTCTCTCGCTGAGTGCGATCAGATTAACGGAATGACACACCTCCAGATTAACAGAATGACACACCTCCTCCAGCAGCTACAGGGTGATTAACTTTCATGTGCACTTGGCATCTTGAAGGTTTTTAATGGGGTAGAATACTGTAACAGGCAAAACTAAATCACCCCCTTTCTCCTCAAGAAGATACGTCATTCACTTAATCTGACTGCATTCAATGCGAGGTCCTGTGGAGTTGGATTGATCTACCTAGTGCAATAGTTCCATTGTAAACACACCCTAAAAAAACTTTTCCACCTACCTTACAATGGGCCTTAAACTCCTGTTCCTGTTTCTTAAGATTTTCATTCATGGCAACCAATCCACGTAACTTTTCAAGAATTCTGTGTGAACATGAAATGAAGGTTAATAAATTATTTTACTTTTTTCATAGGTTATATATATATATATATATATATATATGTGTATATATATACATATATATATATATGTGTATATATATACATATATATATATATGTGTATATATATATATATATATATATATATATATATATATATATATATATACACACACATATATATATATATATATATATATATATATATATATATATATACACACACATATATATATATATATATATATATATATATATATATATATATATATTTCATTTTTATTTTTTGAATCAGTCACACCCATATATTACAGCATCTCATATCTCTGCCCATTAGCATGGGGTTTTGTAAAGAAAAGAGTCATGGAGAATATCTTCAAAAATATTTGTTACAGTAATTAAAAATGCAACTATACCTCTTCAAATTAAAAAAAAAAAAAAAAACTTACGCTCTATTCTCTCCTGTCTCAATCCCAGTCAATTTCTCCATTTCATCATCCACTCTAGCACTGTAATCTTGAGCCTACAAACAGTAAGATATTTTTTTAGCGTGTGGTATAACAGTTTGTTTGTTTTTTTATCCCTTATGTAGTGATGGTGAAAAAAGTACCAGGCAAGGGGACATAGTTGTCATGTGGGTCTACTGCCTCTCCATTCTAACTTCTGGATATTGAATCAAAGAGTCAGTCCTGTGCTCAATGCCCTTAAGTGAAGGGCCAACACATCACGCTCATAGAAAATACTAGAGTATTTTCAGAGATATTGGAAAATTTGAAGATATTTATAATTGTGCCCATCCTTTCAAACAACCACCTCTGTTATTTCTTCATACTTCTTTAAAAAACAATTTCGAAAAAATCATTTCATTCAAAATTTTACAATTTCCCGTTCCACATAAAATTGTAAATTGCCCTGGTGTGCAATACCATACAAGTTGTGAGATTGTGTCACATCAAGCAATCTGCTCTGCTCAAAAAATCTCAACTGCTGCAATTTGCTTTCTTTACACACCAGGCAGGCGACAAGTGTGAGACAGAAAATCAATGAACCAATTAATATATATAAATATATAAACAAAAATGAATAAATACTTTACTATGCAAAAACAGGCTTGTAGTCAGGGGTCTGAAAGGGGGGGTGTGTGAAAGACACCCCCTTTTTGCTGGGAAAAGGTCCACTCTTGGTAATTTTGATCTAGATAAACTAAGGTATCATGACAAAAAGTCTATACTTTCAGAAAAAGGACCCCCTTTTTGCAATTGCTGGCTACGGGTCTGCACAATCCAATTTGCAAATAATTAACAAAGACAAGATTATTCTCTTTTAGATGAAAATACAAAGAGTAGTAATTATACCTCAAAGGCAAGAATTTTAAAAATAAAAAATAATAATAAAAAAAAATGGCACAAGATGGTAAAAAATACCAAATGTTTACAGTGATACAAAAATTGATATTTAAAACAGACACATGAAAATTGTCATATACTGTGGGTACAAATGTTCTTAGAAGGACGTGCATTCATGTGAACTAGTGTCATTCCTGCCAAGATGACTAAGCATAAATCTATGTATTCGATCATCTTCTGTATGTAACCCATATATTCACCTACCACTTACGTTATTAGCAAAATTTTCCATACAATCCAAATTAACAGCAAAATCAGTAGGGGCCTACCTACTACATAATCTACTTCATAAAATTGGAAATAGCTTGACATGTTGTATAATATATTTCTGCCAATTTAGTTTATTAATGCAAGCCATTAGAGAAAACAGTATTGTGTGTCCAGACTATTATGTATTACATCTACATCAATTTGCAGTGCCTGGTACTCTTTGTCTGGCCTTCCCTCAATGGGTAGACACAGAAATAACAAAAACAACTCTTCAGATGATATAACTCACACCCTTTTATCTCATTGGCTGAAAATTAGGTAAGGCATTTTCTGATTGGTTCAATAAGTAAAATTATCTGATTGGAGGAAAAGAAGGTCAGACTGAGTGACCAAAGTTTCCATTGGCTGTTAAAAGGTTCATCACGGGTGATGTGGCTAAAAGTTTATGTAAACAGCCTCAGAAAGCAGTCTTAAAGGATAGAATGGTTACTGTATTGGGTAATGGGGAAGTATTATACAAAGGCTTATTGTGCATTTTTAGAGACTATTTCGATATCAGAGTTTCACTGCTTACTTTAAATATAACTAATACTTCTTGAGTAGACCAATGCACTTGAAAAAATTCTCTGCGTACAATTTATCTTAATGGGCCAAAACTTAATATATACCTTCTATTTTGCATGACTTTGCCTTAAAAACAAATATCATGAAAATCCAACAGAAATCATTTAAAAAAAGCCATTATTTCTATAAAATATATGGCAACCTCTATAGTCCTACGCATGTAATCACCAGATGCTGACAGACACACTCCCCCTCCGCCCAACACAAACACACTCACTACAGTACTGCCATCTGTTATCAGGCAAATACACTAAACTTACAAGTATTAAAATTTCCAAGGACGTTTCCAAGTTTGTCCAGGTGCAGTATTGCTGCCCTGTAAAAACTTGTTTACTCCATTTTTGACTTCAGGCCGTTTCCTCTTTCAATCAAAATTCCCTAACTGTTGCTATCCTTAGCCTAGCACCATGGAGATGAACATGCTGTCAAGGCTATCGTCTAGGTGACAATATGACGTCTCCTTGGCAACTGTCATGACACAGAGACATGCATGTATGATACCTTATTAATAAATCTCTTTTATACAATTTTTTAAAAAAAATTTCCTGTTTATTTTTTAAATTTCCTGTTTACCTTTCGTAAGAGAGAGCAAGATGAACTTGCAAATCTAATATGGCAGTGTGACAAGTAGGACGCAGACAAAATGGGGTGCTCATTTCAGTCTTATCACTCTCAGCAATCATTTCAGGTTGCTCTAATTAAGCAATATCATATAGCAGTGTGCCCATGTCAGTCCCAATACTAATCAATAAACAAATAGAACAACAACAGGTTGAAATCTGGGTCAAAAACTGGGTTAATTGTCATCTTCCGACTATTAATCAGCAAAAACACCACCACGCACCTGGGTTAATAAAAGTATAGGAACATAAAATAAAACACTGCACCAGGATTTTGTGGTTTTAATATCAAAAACAGATTTGAAACAAAGGGGATGGGGGAGAAGAGAATTTATCATTTTAAAAAACAGAATGAATTTCTAATTCCGTATCCTCACTGCAAAAGAGATATTGTACCCATGTCATGGGCAGTACGTCACAGGTAAGATATTATTCAGGCACTGCGCATGCATAGGAAATATATGTTTATTTTTATTTTTATTTTGTCAGCAGATGAATGACTGTGGAATAATACATAAATGAGTTAATATTGCAAAGACTGGGTCTTTTTAATGGGGAAAACCGATAAATTTATTCATAATGTACTTTTCAAGTCAACCTCTTAAAATTAGAATATTCCTACCCAGTGGTAGCAACAAAACTGAAAAACAGGCTAACTTAAAGCTGTACTCTAAATAGTTAAAGTTAATGATACACAAAAAAATATTTTTAATGACTGAAAATGATTGGACAGATCTAGTCATAACCATACAATTAATTGCAGATATCAACTGCACAATAATTGCACACATCGCTGATATGGTGTCAGAGAAAGAATGAGATTTTCTCGGGGTCAGATGAATTTAATTTCTCTGTTATTTTTCGACTAAATGGGCTAAAAGGATCCATTAAAATGCATCTGTTGTAATAGAATTCACCCTTTTTTGTCGCTTTAAAGCCCAATGAGTTTTAAAGCAAGCACAAAGCAACATTCAAAAAAATTTAAAACAATATCCCAAGGAAGCAAAATAAATGCTAAATCATCTGAAATTCAGGAAAGAAGAACCCTTATATTCACCAGGGAGGAGGGCGTATGAGACATGGGAATAAAACAGAGGTTTTCCAAGGTGACTGCACCCACATTTCAACTGACATCATGTGAACTTTTGACCAGACGCATTTTCATCATCAGAGAACGAGGAGACTATGGGCTGTCCCGCCATGCTGTGTTAATGGGTATCACCATAGTGACAAGTATCTGGGTCATGTAGGATTAACCCATAAATAACCAATCAGAATGATCTCAACTGGGTCACTGTTGCAGTTATGCATTCATGTTATGTCCATGTGTTTGTGTGTTTGTGTGTGTGTGTGTGTGTGTTGGGGGGGGGGGGGGTTAGGTCAAAAAGGGACTTCTGCCAAAATAGGTATATCTAGTGAAAAATATGGAGCAGTAAATTATGAGTCAGCTAATTTTAAAATTACACAAAACTCAGCACTTTTGCAATATCTATTTTGAAAGAAGAAAAAAAATCTGTTTAAGTTCATTACACTTAAATAAAGGAATTATTTAAATAAACAGTGCTAAAAATTGTTTTGTCTCAGACAAAGTATCAGCAGAGTTTACATTATAGACTGACAGTGTTAATTAACATGGGACCTAATAATTACAGAATGCTAAAAACTTGAAAAGGAAGAAGTGCAAATTACCAATGTCCTACAAATCACAAACTGCCAAATTATACATCTTGAGATCTCAGTGGCATGTACCTAGCAATCAAGAAGGCCACACTATCACACCATGGACATTTGTGGTTACATTTAAATATTGGGAAGAGTGTTGCTAGACAAAACAAACCCATTAAAATATCGAAAAATAAATACCCCTTTGTCTATGCAAATGAAAAACAAGCTGTTAAGATGAAGAATTCTCTTTTGTTTCAATGAAAATGTATTAAAATGTTTTTCTTGGGCTGCTGATGGAATTTTCCCAAAGGTTACTTTTATATTGCATATTTACATCACTAATAAAAGTGATCATTTATTTTTTTTACACAATTACAATTATTTTCAGCTCCATTTCAATTCCACAAACCATACAATTTAAACGTTATATAATTTCAAATTTAGCAAACTTCTCAGTCTGAGAATTCAAACTGAGACAGACAGGGTCAAACATACCAGAAAAAATCCAGTCAAATTGAAATTTGAAAAAAAAAAAAAAAAAAAAAAGCATTCTTGAGCCACAGGGGCAGGCACACAGCCCTCGCTTCACACACTTTACTGAGCATTCTCTGCTCATGCACCTGTCTATTTTCCAATGCATGAAAGGAATTGAACTTTGGACTCCACGTTGTTGTTATTATTTTCTAGCTCTGCTGTTAATCCCAGCATGGACATATGAGAGATTTTGAGCTCCTGAATCCATACCAGTAAAATTAACTCTTGCCAGTGGAAGAGAAATATATTACAATAACAAAAAACATTTTTAAAATAGTAAATAATTGTTTCATTTGAATTGGCCAACAAATAACTATAGTCTAGAAAGGAAAATCAAGCCATGTTCTTTTAATTGAACAATTTGGAAGAAATATCACTTCGAGTCAATTCAAAAATAAATAAAAAAGAAAAAGATACTAAAAAAATGGTTAATTATTCTAATCAGGTTAAAAATGGTGACTTCTTATCAGTGTCCCAGACAAAGACAACTAGATTTAACTCTTGTCAACTATTTACACTGACTTATTTTTCACTGATCTCTATCCTGCTTTTGAGGAAATTTCAGGAATTTAGTCACTCGTAAACACCATGATAAACTCATGCATGAGTATGCTAGGCCAACAGGAGAGGTCCGTGATACGCTTAGGGTGCTTTTATTCTCATTTCATCAGTCATGGGTTAGATCATAAAAGAAAATAAAAGTTAAAAAAAAAATTAAATCAAATAATTTAGAAATAAAGTAGGAGAAAGGGAAATTAGTTGCAGTATGGTATTGCTTTCAAAATTAGAATTGAACTGCTGTTAAATAAATAAATTTATTAATAAATAAATAAATTAAATGAACTTCATGACCTTTTTTGATATGGATATAATAATGAAAAACGGTGATAAAAATGTGAAAAGCCCTCTTTTCCTTTTATTTTAACATGGATAGCCTTAGTTAAAAAACAAACCAATTCTACATTAACTTTTGACTTTAAAAACAAGCCAATATACAGCTTTTTAATTAATTCCTAGATTATTGCAAAAATAAAGAATACACCACATTGTAAATTCCATTTGTTGTTGCATACTCAGTGTTGACCTTTTATTCATTTACCACAAGGTCAAAAAAAAAAAAAAAAAAGGAAAACAAATATGTGCCCAATTTACTAACTGAACCAGAACTTGTTTTGCTATTTTTGTTATAAAAATTCTTTGAAAAATGGAAAACCACTTACTGCCCTACATTTCAATAGAAAAAACCAAGGTTTCTGCAATATTTAGATGTAAACTTTGTGTTCTTCATTTGTTTTTGACAAGGTCAGGGTGAACGTAATACTTCTGAGAATTTCAGAAAGAAGATCAAAAACTCAAAGATCAGCCAGTTTAAATATTGAAACTTAAAAACAATTCTCTGAATTATTTGTTAATTTTAAGCTCAGACAATTGTACCACTGTCTAGAACTGATTTGTAGGGAAACAATTCTTTGAATTTCATGATAAGGCCAATTGTAGCTTTCCCATAGCTGGAAAAAATAAGACTTATATATGACTTCCCTCTCAATTTACACGCAATTTCTGAGCAAAAAACCAATAAAAATCTTATAGTTCCCTATCTTTTGTTACTTCAGTTTAGGCTAAAAACTCTTTAGCCCCTGACCTCTTGGGTGACCAATATTATATACTGGTCTAAAGCAGTCTATATACACAAGTCTAAGACCCCTTTCCCATAAAGATACCATCAGTCTATGTCCATCGACCTAAATCTGCAGAACTCTTGCTGAGTGCAATCAGCTTAATTGAACTACATGTCTCCTATTGTTTCCAACATATTCCTATAATCACCAGTTTTCTGTACTCTACTTAATGCCAGGAGAAGGCATGATAAGCTGATTGCACTCAGCAAGAATCCATGCCAGACTGAGTCATTCGCCCGCTTGTTTACTTGGTCTAGCGAAGTTAAACGGGAAAGCACCCACTATAGTACACACCTATCCTGAATATATGTTTTGATTTTGTCATCTTTTTAGAGGGCCGAGTGCACAGAAAAACAACAGATCAATCACTGTCCACACAATTGTAGCCACCTCTCACTTTGCGGATTTAAACCAATGTGATTTGTTTTTGGTTTTCAATTAATTAACATACATTACTAAAAAAATTTTAGTTTTAAATTTTCATTTTTTCCCATGCAGCAAAGAAAATATTCTTCTACTGCCTACATATGTAGCTGATAAATTTTCAATTTTTTTCAGTTCCACAACTGCACATGCCTTACACTACCACTTCATTTGTAAATCAAAATTTCAGCATTTAATGCAATTCCTTTTAAGTGGAAATGAAATACAACTACATGCACACAACACGTGAAAAAGGCCAGATTTAACAGTGATACAGTAGTGGCCTTTCTTCAAGTGAATGACCTATGTAGTGGAATGCACCTTGCGTACATCTAAAAAGGAATAGTACACATAACCTGCACCAGTCCCCCTAAGGTATGCCCATTATGTTGCATTCTGTTCACAGTAAGTAATGACAGAGCTGATGCAACCTATTTCATCGCAGCGTTCCTATCATTAACAAAGCTCTGAATAGTACACCAAATTATAAAACTTCTTTTAATGAATGCAAAAACACTGGACTCCTAGTGCAGTCATGCTGAGCAGACACATATTACTTGATTGCAATCAGGACCAATGGTATTTTAATTGACTGAATCCCATTCACTCTATCCCAGGACTCAGGACACAGATTTTCACCTTTTTTTTTTTGTTAGTTTGTTTGATGGATCTTATCTCTATNACTTCTTTTAATTAATGCAAAAACACTGGACTCCTTGTGCAGTCATGCTGTGCAGACACATATTACTTGATTGCAATCAGGACCAATGGTATTTTAATTGACTGAATCCCATTCACTCTATCCCAGGACTCAGGACACAGACTTTCACCTTTTTTTTTGTTAGTTTGTTTGATGGATCTTATCTCTACGTTTAGTGTAGTGCAAAAGAAAAAAAAAGGGGGGGGGGAGGGGCAAATGGTTATAATGAGCTGCTTCTGCACGATATTGGCAAAGCCCACACTGTGCCACTGTGCGAAATGAGTTCATGCGTGGGAGGCATACCTTTTGTGTGCTTTGCATGACAAGAATTAAGTATCCAAGTACCAAGCCACCTAGCTGAACTTTTACAGGGGGTGTACTGCATTCATTCACACCTTCAGAGATTCATATTTATTTTACTTTTACTTTTTTTAAAATTCTCATTTAGTCTGTTGCAAAAGCGCGGCAATGCACTATTAAAAATTGATGGTTTGAAACTATCATGCTAAATATGGACAAATTGAATTGAATTGAATTTAATTGAAACAGCAAAAGCCAAAAAAATTCCACCAAATATTTTTTTTAAGTTATGAGAGAGAGAGAGAGAGAGAGAGAGAGAGAGAGAGAGAGAGAGGGAGAGAGAGAAGAGAGGGGGGGTATTAAACACTAACTACTATATCAGTTACTGAGTTTTTTTTTTTATTAGTCACTTTTCCTTTTTCTTAATACAATCTGTAATAATGTTTGTGCTTAAAATACAGCTTTGATCAATATGTTAACATTATGCAAACTTGTAAATACATAAAAATATTTTTATGAGTATCACATTTTAATTTTAGTTCCTTGCATTTAAATTACACTGACACCTTCAAATTTTACTCTTGATAAAAATATACAAAGTCAATTCAACTCACACCAAATTTTCTTCTAACCTGAACCAATGTAGAAAGACATCAAAATACTTTTAACAACACAAGTTTAAATATGCAATGTAAAAATATTAAAACATGAAATATAAATAAATGAAAATGCAATCTTGAATGGTACGTAAAAAATGCAATGTGTTGTCATTCAGTCCATTTTAAATTTAGACAGCTGAATCACACTACTTCTAAAATTACAACTAGGGATTAGAACCCTCCACAAGAACATAAACAAATTGATTACAATCAGGAATAAAAAGATGAAAAAAACTATCACATCCAACATCATTGATTGGTACCACTTTAAATTGATCGCTTGAGACTTAAAGTGATAGGCCCCGTCATGTTTCACCACGTAATCAACCCAGTATAGAATTTTTTCTTTAAAATTCCAAGGTTGGTCTCTCATTAAGTAAGACACCTTCAAAGCACTGGATTTATAGTTGTGATTAGAAATGACTTCCTTCGCTGTGGAGTACAGTTTATCCGCGGTCAAGGAATGAATATCAAGTGCCACACCCATTCCTGCGTGTCCCGTTAATTTAGAGGCCATGCTGGGTTGGTCAGCAAACAGGGGAATGCCAATGACCGGTATCCCATAATACCCTGCTTCCATAGCTCCATTTCTTCCGCAATGAGTGATGAATAATTTTGTTTTTGGATGGGCAAGAAGTTCGGCCTGCGGCAGCCATGGAACTAACTTGGTATTGTTTTTAAGGTTGGATGGAGGTTGACCATCGTAACGCCAAAGAACTTTTTGCGGGAGGCGGCCAAGGGCGCTGGCAAACAGGTTTCCCCAGTGCTCCCCATAGTGCTTCACTTGAGATCCGAAACTGAAAACCACCAAGCCCTCTTCTCCTACAGAGTCCAGAAACTGTTCTACAGTTTCACTCATTTGGGACGTTGGTTGGCTGACGAAAAACCCACCAATCAGAAGCATATCTGGCATCACTGGTTGCGGGTAGTCCAGGGCAAAATCAGCGACAGCGAAACGCAATGATGGGCGCCTCGATGTTTCATGTACAGATGTTGGAATGTCAGTGTATTTATTTTGAAGTTGTTCATACTGGTAAAGCATATAGTAATAGATCAGATTATCTCCCATTTTCATCACAGCATTCATTGCTCTCTCCCCAAAAGTCATTTTATCAGTGAATGTTGCCATCATCGCTGGAACATACGCCATGGGGCTTGGGATATCTGCGTGGTCGCCTATCCCCTCTGTTAGAAGTTTTATATATGGTATTTTTAGATATTGGGCAATGATCAGTCCACATATTTCCATAGAGTCCACGACAATGACATCGAAACGTTGCTGTTTCAGGTAGTGGAGGGTCGCAGTATCCTGTAATAACGCCTCGCAGAATTTCAAGCCAGTTCCAATGAACACGCCAATCATATCGCTAGGTGATTGCGTCACGAGTCTCTCAACAGAGTTTAAGTCACAAAGAGTGGTCACGTTTTTCGGGGCAGAAAAACTGACCTGCTGAACACGGCGCAGGTCCATGCCTGTGCGCGATGTTATAGAGTACTCACTGTTAATCAGCATGCTCACACGATGGTGCTGGGAGAGAAATGATCCTAGTTTTTCCATGAGAAAAAGGTGAGAGTTCAAGCAATGTCCATACGGGTAAAGTAAAATGTTGGCACTGCTGACACTTCTGATATCACAGATAATTTGCACAGATAAATACAGCAAAAAAAGCTTCTGGGTTATTGACTTCCACATACTTGCACTTTTTTTTTAATAGTTCTTTATAGTTAATATCGTTCTCCTATGAGAAATTCTGCACAAATTGAAATGTCCTTTTTTTTTAAATGTGCAAGATACAAAAATTAATGTGTTTCCATTTTATGTCTGACTCAGTCTTTATTGCACTTAGAAGAGATGCACAGTCTTCTGGAAAGTTAATAAATAAAGTCAATATCATCAGCAGAGCAGTTTGTTAATGTTTTTTTAATGCCTCACCAGAAATTGGCATAAAAAAATTCCTGTGAGAATTATTTCTCACTTTTAAGTATAGTACGTGCTGCAGCAAGTCAAATATCCATTCATAGATAAATGTTTTTAAAATTCTCAAAGGAAATTTGAATGTTTTAAAGTTTTTTTCACAACTCCACTGTATTTTAGGAATTTTCCACTAAATGTTCAATCCGTTTTTCCTGAATTGTTTTTTTTCTCCCTTATGAACAAAAGAAACGTCACAGCCTTCTTCGAAAAATTTACACAAATTTTTCTTCAATAAATTGTCAAAAAACTTCCTTTTTTCTCTTAGTTCTTAAAAAATGACGACAAATCCTCCAAGAAATTCACCTATTAAGAGTCAGTCACAATATCAGTCCTAACATCCCACCTGTGTCATCTACAAGTGTCAGCCAAAGAAGCCGGTTCCATTAAGCAAGGGGTGGTCTTAAATACTCCCCTGGTACCGGGAGACAAGGCCATTTTTAGCACACACCGGCCAGCCGTTGTCAGCACTTCTACACAACAATATTACAACCTTGAGGTTCAAAATAAAGAAGCAGCCATTAGCCCATGAGGAAAAGTCCCAAACACTATTGAGCATTGTCACATATGTATTGCATGCACTGGCGTACTACATTAATATCCATCTACAGGGCCCATTCATCCACCACAGTAGGACCTGGCTATGGACAGGTATAACAGATGCTGCTTATTCACAGCAAAAGCCCATTAAAAGCCTTATGGGACATGAATATGGATATGTTTAATTACAGTCCACGTGATAAGGGGAGCAAACCCTTTTGTAAACCTAGTGATAATAAACGCCTGAGCAACATGGTGACCCGATTTCCAACCAATCATTTTTGCACCCTGACTTTCCCTTCATTCACTTTTCTTGGGAGTCTTTGGCTGACTATCACGTGAAGCCAGTGACTGGATTCGAATTAAAACAAGAGAAAAATCATGAATGGGATGGGGATGACTTGTTTGATTTTCAGGAAGTGCTGAAAGCTGTGGATTACTGTGGCCTAGTTCTATCACTAGAATGGGTGTGTTGTTTACTATTTCACATGTACCTTATTTAAATTTTACAATAATAAAGAAAAAAAAACTGAAGTCTTAGGCACAAGACAATTTTTAAAAAGATTACATCATGAGTGCACAAGAGTGCGGATTTGCTAGCAATGAACAAAATTAATCCCCTGTCAAATTTACTTCTTATGTCATGCAGGCACACTGGGCTGACATTACTTACATTATATGGCATGTTATATAATACCTTTTTACTGGTTCATTATATAACCAGACACGGGGTACCTGACACACATACGAAAACACCAGTTACGTAATGTATCACACATACAATTACTACGCAATAATGCTGGTAATACCGCTCCTGGGACTTTTGTCTCGCCATTCGTTAGTCATAGCGCAAGTCAGACACAACAGCCATCAGTGAGACGTGTGTGATATCAAGACGTGTTTTGCATACACTTCTCTCACCCTATTATATAATCAGTAAATAGGTCAATAAGTTTATTAGACATTTCTTATCTATAGACAGTACGCTCTACATAAACAAGCAACCTGGGACCTGCTTACACTATCATTATCATAACCTTATCCCACTATATAGATATATACCGTCATTATAATTGAATCACTTGCTTTGCACTGCTTTTTCTCCCCTCACCCTTTGTATTGCTTATAGTGTTACATTTTGAGTGGTCTTAAACCACAATCTCACCACAAAATTTCACTCACAGCTATTTATATCCCTTCACCAGAAATAAGTGCGGAAAAGAAAAAATTACACGAAAAAGACACACTAACAGCAGGGAGTAAGAACAAATGAAGATTTCTTTATCATATGCAAATTTAGTATGGTCTCTTCCGAACGGTCTGATTGTATTTTTAAAATTTCTACTATTTCAAATGGACTAAACTGACCATTGATTTTTATTCCTATTTCATAATGCATTATCTGAAAATGTATTTTACAGCCATTTTCGTTTCTCTAGGGATATTGTCAATTTTTAGCCTTAAGATTAAAAAAACTAATTTTTTAGTTGCGAAAAAATACTACCTACTACTATAACTATTACTTTTATTCTTATAAATGTGTGACAGGAAGCCTTGAACTTTTTAGCATTAATTCCCAAAGATAAAAGAAGCAGATAAAAGAAGCAAAACCAACAGCTTTTAAGATTAGGTATGTTTTTAGAATAGGATAATGAATCAAACCTTAATTAGGAACACAATACAAAAATGATATAAATTGCTTCACCTTGCCTTGAAGAGGTAATATCATTTGAACTTATTTACTTTTTGCCAAAATAAATGACCACCCATGGACATCCACCTTGTGGTCAGTGATGCACCTGAATTGACCCCCGCATGCTTGACCCAAGAATGACCCTTTTAACGCACATATTTCATCTCATCGCTGGCACAGATACTGACCAATCAGTGGCAATGTTACTTGTACACACTTGTCTTATTTTGCTCTGGCTTTTAATATATTATCTTCAGTATATATTTATGATGATTTTTTATTAGTAATACATATATATAATGCATAAAACTGTTCCTTTTCTTGAAATATTTAAATTTAACAGAAGTTGTAGATAAATCAACAAGAAAAATTCAGTGGAAAAGGGTCCATTTTTTATTTATTCCCACACTGTACTACCTATAGTTAAGCCTTATTTCCGACAACAATCTCTTCCAATATCAGTCGATTTTAAGTTATCAAACTCAGGGGCTTCTCAGATTATCTGCAGTCAAACTCTTTGACATGATTGTTAGCTTTAAGAATAAACCGTGAATAAGGGCAAGTCAATACCACTGTTTCAATACAAGTCTATTCTGGCCATGTCTTTTAATAATCTGCATACTTTCAAGTCTCCTAATTCGCGGCCTGATTGCACGGAGTCATCACATGCTACATGGCACAAATGTAAGACAGCCTGCTACTGAAATATAGTTTCAGTCACCAAAACAAGCCGTAACTTTAAACAAGTGGGGGACAAAAGTATCCCTGGAGTGACATGCCAAAACCCAATTTCAGTAAATTCATGCTTAATCCATAAATAATGTCTACTGACGTCAATGCTCAGTCAATATTATCACTGCTTTGTAGTTTGGGGTATGTAAGAATAAAAAATGCCTATCTTTTCAAACTTTAAATAAAAAAAGATTGAATATACAATAAAGGGATTTGGGTATTTCAGTTTTCAGGAAGAAAAACGTCATTTGAACTCGTTCACCTGTTTTACAATTCAACAGAAAATTTGTCTCAAAGACAAATCAAAACCTGAACAAAGATTCCTGTACTTCAAAGATTAAAAAAAAAAGCCATAAGGTCAGGTGTTTTAAGCAGTGAAAGAGTCATAGTGCAAACAATTAAGAACATATCAAAAGCATGTCAAAAACTAGAAGGGGGGGGGGGGGAGGNTTGAACTCGTTCACCTGTTTTACAATTCAACAGAAAATTTGTCTCAAAGACAAATCAAAACCTGAACAAAGATTCCTGTACTTCAAAGATTGAAAAAAAAAGCCATAAGGTCAGGTGTTTTAAGCAGTGAAAGAGTCATAGTGCAAACAATTAAGGATATATAAAAGCATGTCGAAAGATAGAAGGGGGGGGGGGGAGAGGAAAGAGACAAGACATATCACAACTTGAATATAATCTTAAATTAACCTTACAATGAAACTTGCCGTAAAAAGGGCACATGGTAGCAGTAGCAGATATTTCTGAAAATGATTAATCCATATCAGACATGAAAAATGTCTTTTCCCGGTCAAATCCCAGACTGTGCCACCTTTCCCCTTTAACATGTTTTGACCCAAGCTAAATAAGGATACTCAGCTCCTCAACCAAGAATATCCAGGTTACCTAAGAAATTGCATTATATAATATTTAATCTATACCTGTTTTCATTTCTGCAGATTTGAGAGCATAAGACCAAAGCTCACATTTGTTTTTCAATGGCATATATATGTGAAATCAAAAAGGTATTTAGGCAATGCAGTTACAATTTTGCCATTAACAGCTGCAGAATAAAAAGCAAAACCTCCCTCTACCCAACTTTAAACATATGCAAAATCCAGCAACTTTCTAAATTATCTTTGGCACATAAAAAAAAGTAATCCTCCAAAAATAGGGGAATAAAATCCTACCCCTGTTAAACCACAACAGACAGCTTATTTAAAATGCCCAACTTTTTTTTTTTCATTTGACAGGTGCTATTTTTCTAGGTTGGGAAAACAGGGTTACCCATTTAAAAGTCACCCGGTGACCCATTTCCCTCTTTACTCAGGTAGAAATAAGGGATTCCCCAACAATCAGCTGATCTACAGCTGTTTGAAAAGGTCCTGTGAAAATAATCAATTTTTTAAAACCATGCTCTAGTTTCAGTCCAGATAAGACGAGTTTGGTTTACAATGTCTACAAAAAAATCAACTAAAATACTCTTAGTTCTATCTTCTACAAAACAGAAATGAACACAAAAATTTTGAAAGATATGGGAAAAAATTTGATCCTATATTAACAATTGACTAAGACCTTTTTTCACATGGCGTTCAAGCCAGCCATAAGAAAACTAGGGCAGACGTCACGCAGATTTAGTTTAAGATTATGCGTTAACATAGATGTCAACATTTCAATTCATTTTCTGGACCCCCAAGCAAACAGGGGGGGCATTACATACTGAATCCCAAACATAATATATAACAGGTAACACAACAGGGCCAGTGGCATAATATTGGGACCAGAAATGTGAATATTTATGACCAGCAAAATGTGAAAAACAACCCTAGATTCTGACACAAATGGATTGTCGTTATGTGAACCCTAGCCAGGCAAAAGTTGACCCCGATTCTCATAAAAGGGTCAATGGCCATGGAGTGCAAAGGAGTAATTGGGGCATATGAATTGTATAATTGAACAAGTGAAGCAGTGCAGACTCCCACATCTTCACATATTTTACTCACTGACAGTCTGTTAAACTGGGATGGGACTGCCATTTGGTGAAAATGTCTGAATATATGGCCTGAGGTCCAGACCCTTTGTAATACTTACTTAAATACTGATATTTCTTTAACCATCCATTCGCCTTTTGCTCTGCTATTTATTTTCAACCACTGTTATATAATATATATACTGGCTTCATTTCACTTTCACTTTTTTTTTTCAGGGTGTCTCTTTTTCCTTAACTTCAACCTCTCTCTCTCTCAACTAAAGTTTGTTAGCTGTGTGTGAAACTTTTAGGATGTTATAAAATTCAAATCCACATTACCTCTTTCAATTTCTCCTGTGTGGCAACGTACGAGGCATGTAATTCAGCATGCTTAGTTTGAACCTGCAACGAAATGATTAATAGTATGAAAATTGCGTATTACAAAAATGTATGCAGTAAATACAACTGCAATTGCCAAGTTGGCTAAATTTAAAGTAAGGGATTAAAGATTGTTTAGTAAGGGGGGGGATCTCTATGTGCTTGTGGTTACATTGCTATCATAATCTATCCTAAAATATTGTACTTCTCTCTAGATATATACCCCTTTGCATTTACTTTTGGTATTGGTGGACTGAAAAATGTAAAAGAGAACCAAATTACTATTCTGATATTCCCAATTTGTCCTTGTATTTGGATTTGACGGGGTTTTTTTTTCCACTTTTTTAATTCAATGATTTAAACCAAACGACTGATCAGTAATTAAGAATGTCATGTTTTCCTGTACAGTTCAAATGGGACCATCATGGTCAGGTCCTTTTTATTTGAGGGGTTATATAGGTTTTAAGGTCTGATTTCAAACAGATCAAAAGTACTGCAGGATACGTAGCCACAGAAAATACGACTTTGGTCAAATTTTCAAATACATTCAAATACCTTTAAAAACATTTTTAAAAGAAAAAATTGCAACTTTTTGCCTCATCAAATAACTGTCATGGAGTTTGAAACTTGAGATTGCAAAGGGCAGTGTACATTTGTATATGTTTAATACAAAAATTCCTATCAGATATACATATATTATATAACACATACTCAAGGCGCCTCTGACTCACACACAAACACGCATGCATGCACACACGCACACAAGGAATTGTTAGAAACAGGTGAGATGGAAAGTGACTATACAGATGAACAAATTCCAGGGCTACCTGCTCTAAAAGGTCATAAACACTATAATAAATAATGAATATTGAAAAATAGATGGGACAGATATCACCCTTTTCATCATATTTTGTTATGCACTCTTAGAACACTGCTATGGAGACAGGGTACAGGACTGCAAATTATTAAAAAAAAAAAAAAAGACAATTGGACAAAACTGGTCTAATAACATTACTACACACAGTTAGGGCACCTGTCCTACAAATAAATGTCCAGACAATGCCTTTAAAAGAACTAGGTGAGATGGAAGGAATTGTCCTTGACACTATGCAGTATATTATATGATACACAGTCAAGGCACAGGTGAATAGGGACAAAGATTGCGTCCTTGGGGAAAAGGGGGTTTAAGAGTTTCAGTGACATAGTCAATGGTCAGTTAAATGGTTACTAGTACTGGTATTTATTGACCATGGGCCTATCAACACTAATGGCAGTATACATGTACAACCAAAAAGTGAACTCTCTCTCTCTCTCTCTCTCTCTCTCTCTCTCTCACACAGGGCCGAAAAAGGTTTTATTTTTATACCAAATCCCCTAAGTTACAGCAGATCTTACGATGTGCCTAACTTAGGGCTTTTAGGACAACTGCTGTTCAAAATACATAGTGGCAATATGTGTGCATGCACGCAAACACGTATAAAGTAGCATGCATGCGAGCATATGTACGCATCAATGTGCATGCACTTAGTACATGCTTAGTACATGCATCCAACAACAAACCTACCTCATCTAGATGGGACTGAGCATTTTGTATCTGCTTGGTCAAAGAAGCAACTGCCCGTTTGTGGTGCTGGACTCCGCCCACTCTTTCTTGTTTCTCCAGCTGACCAACTTCTGCTTGCTACAATTAAAGAATTTAGTAAATTTATAAATGCACTAAAACTGAAATGATTGCACTTGTCTTCTAAAATGAATGTTTATAAATTGTGCAGCATAAAACAAATTACACTCAATTGCAAATCTCCACAAATATCTATAAGTAAAGATGAACAGTGTAAAAACACTTTATGTACAGTAATGACTTGGTCTTTTCAATGGGGAAAATTGTGAATTTTATAGATATTTTAATTTTCAAGTCATAAATTCTTGAAATTAAACCTTCTCTATTGAGTGGTAGCAGCAAAACTGAAAAGCAAGACGTCTTTTACTTCTATATTCTATACAGTAAAAGCTACAAAGCAATATCTTTGTAATGATTTCAAAATAATGTATCTGAAAAATTGATAATTTTTCCCCATTAAAAAAATTAAGAGTCATTACATTTTGGTCAAATTACCTTCTCAGCATATTCAGAAGCCATTTGTTGTATTTCCTCTGCCTGAAGCCCTACAATAGAGCCTACCATACCGGCTGTGAGCCTCCCCTTTAAGAAAAAAAATTAATTATTATGAATACCATTTACAGTACTGTGAAATAATCAGCATATCTTCATGAACGAATGTAACTTGCATGAAACTTGTTAAGTTAAACAACTCTGTTCAACTCTTTT